CGGGCCCCTGTAATGGAGAGTTTCTGTCCTCATCATGCTATGAGCCACTCATGGAGCCACACTTAAGTGCCTGCCACACTGGTGGTGGCAACCCACTTCAGTCCAGCTGGGTATGGCACTTTGGCTACAGTTTCTTCATGTGGCTCAGTGTAACAACCCCACAGAACTCTTCTATCCCTAAATTCTCCACTCAGTAAAGTAGGGAGCAAATCCCTCTGAGTTGTCAGCTGATCCACAGCATGTTATGGGTTGGGTAGAAATGAGACCCTTGTAATCCTTGGGGGAAACCAGTCATTAGGGTTTATTAAACATGCACTGTGTACTCAGTGTTAGTATTCAGGCATCTGTTCTGGCCTGCCTTTGGGGTTCTGACAGGGTTCACCCTCAGCTGCAGCCACTAAGAGCACCACCTGTGCACATTCACTATGTTCTCTTTTAAAAGGGCCCTGCCCACCTTCCATCCTTTTCCATCTCTTTCCTTCCTTCTTTCTCTGTCTCCCTCTCCCTCCTCTTCCTGTCCCCAGAGGCTAGTCTCCCGCTTCTCTTTCTTCTTTTTATGACCCCTTTCCCTAATTTAAAAAAAAACAAAACAAACCCTCTTGAACCCTGTCACATGGCATCTTTCTCTCACATGCCACTTTTCTTACATCACTACACTCAGCACCTCTAAACAAAGTGAGAAAACCAGAGGACTTTCTGTGAGTAACCAGCTTAACCAGGAACCTGTTCCATACAGTATCTCAAAAACTTCAAAAGTACAAAGAAAATGATAGGCTTTTGCACTGGCTGTGTGAGCATTTCTTCTTAATAGTGAGTGAATGGAAGGTAGGACAGTGTAGGGAATGGGCTATTTCTATTGTCACCCCTCCCCTCTCCCTGAGCCCTTTCTTAGGAAGTCCCCATATTATAGGAGGGCATCTTTTTCTGGTCATGTGCAGTTACATATGCGATGGCCCTGAAGAAAGCTGGGGATAAACATACTCTCCATGAGCCCAGGAGAACGTCTGTATGGCTCCTTGCATTTGTCTTTACTGCTGGTAAAGTTCAGGGTGTTAGAGTGGGACCTTGGAAATCTGCACTGCAAGAATGCTGATCACTAGTTCTAGAAGCCCCACTTTCCCACCACAACCCACCCTTTGAGAACAAACCTTCGGGGATATGAAGGATTAGTACACATTTCCAAGCTGTGGTTCCTCAAAGGGAACCTCAGAAGCAACCGTAGGAATCTAGGCCCCCAGCCTCTTGCCTCCCCATAGAAGGCAAAGCCAAGTTTGAGTGTCTACATAGTACCATTCCTTATTGGGTATTCTTGCCTTTTCAATAGTAAATGGCATCTGGATCTTGCAGCTTTCTAAGGACTGTGCTTCAGGAGGTGCACTAAGCTGCCGTTCGTTCCCACTGTCCTGGCTTGATCTGGCTCGAGCCCAGCGCTCTGCACAGTGCAGCTGCCAGCACACAGAGGGACCTTAGAACTCACCCTCACCTAGTATTGGATTAGTGACTGAGACCCCCCCCCCCAAAACAGGCCTTTCTAAGAACAATTTCATGAACTCTTCAGCTTAAATCAAATGTTTGACAAATTAGTCATTCTTCCCATTGTATTTTATACAGAATCTAAAATTGTGAAGTATTTTTACTAGCTTTTTTTCATCATTTTTAAAAATTTATTTTACATACCAACCAGTTTCACCCTCTCTCCTGTCCTCCACTCCTTCATCCTACCCCTCCTATCCATTCCTCATCTCCATTCAGATGGGTAAGGCGTCCCATGGGAATCAACAAAGCAGGACCACTGCATCAAGGCTGAATAAGGCATCCCACCATAGGGAGTGGGTTCCAAAGAGCCAGCTCATGGTGCATCAGGAACAAGTCTAGTCGCACTGCTAGGGGTCCCACAAAAGACCAACCTACACAACTGTCATTCAGATAGAGAGAACCTAGGTCAGTCCCATGCCAGCTCCCTGGCTGTCAGTTCAGGGTCTGTGAGCTCCCACAAACTCAGGTTAGCTGTCTCTGTGGGTTTCCTCATCATGATCTTGACCACCCCTAGCTCATATAATCCCTCCTCCATCTCTTGGAACTGGGCTTCCAGAGCTTTGCCCAGTGCTTGGCTGTGGTTCTCTGCATCTTCTTCTATCAGGTACTGGATGAAGGCTCTATGATGACAATATTAGAGTAGTCACTGATCTGATTACAGGAGAAGGCCAGTTCAGGCACCCTCTCTACTTTTGCTAGGAGTCTTAGTTGGGATCATCCTTGTGGGGTTCCTGGGGGTTTCCCTGGCACCAGGTTTCTCCTTAACCCCATATTGGCCCCCTCTATCAAGGTATCTCTTTCATTACTCTCCCTCTCTATTCTGTCCCCAGTTCCACCATCCTGATCCCTCATGTTTCCATCCCTCCCCCCATCCCCTTCCCTCTACCCCCTACCTCCCAAGGTTACTAGGAACATCTCATGTATTTCCTCATCCCTGGAAGATCATCCATTCTTCCCTCTTAGGGTCCTTCTTGTTACCTAGCTTCTCTGGGGCTGAGGATTGTAGCCTGGTTATCCTTTGCTTTACATCTAATATCCACTTATGAGTGAGTACATACTGGGTGTGTCTTTCTGGGTCTGGGTTACCTCGCTCAGAGTAGTTTTTTCTAGTTCCATTTGCCTGCAAATTTCATGATGTCATTTTTTTTTTTTTTTTCTGATGAGTAAGATATACCACATTTTCTTTAACCATTCTTTGGTTGACGGACATCTAGGTTGTTTCCAGTTTTTAAAATACCACTATAAAACTAAGACATTCCCAAAGTTTACAGTGTAATGAAAGTCACTTTAAGTATGGTGGGTTTGCTTTGAGGTTGTGTTATATATTTAATGGAAATGTAGGAAGACAAATTGTTTCTAAATGCTTTTTTGAAAAAGTAAACATTTTGAAATTAGACCAGATTTGAAAATACTCATTTTCTTATAAGGTTACGTATGTTTTTATGGTTTACAGAGCCAAGGTTTTAATCAGTAGTGAAACTGGTTTCCAGTTGCCAGTGTAGAATGGGAGTCCGGAGCATTGCTCCACAGCAGGAATCAGATTGCCAGCCTATTAAAAGCCTATTAAAAGGTAGACTTTCCATCGTGAGGGAAGGTGGCTTTCCCCACAGCTCTCCTCACAGGGACTTTGTCACTCAGCACTTCTCTTCTGCCCTGCTGAGCTGAGTGGTATGCCCGAGTTCTCAGCATCTTCCCACCATAGGAATTGCTTAGGACCATGCTTCCTGGGGATTAGAGACCCAGGAGATTGAGTAAGTGACTCAGAAATGGTCTTGTGTTTCCTAATAACTAAGGATGATTAATACTGGCAGCCAGTCCCTGCTATTAAACTATTGAAAACAGGAATTCTTACAGGTAATAAGTAAAGGAACAAGGAGAAGCCATAGGCTATACTGCCTGAACATTAGTCCCAAACTCACACATGCTCAAAGAAGAGCAGCTCACACCCTGCAGGCAGCCATCAATGAGACCTCTGTTACATTAATGGGCCACCTTCCCAGTGCCCATGTCTATGCATGGCTATGGGTGTGTTCACTTACATGGGAGGCAAGATCTTTCTTGTCCATCTGCCTGGCAGTGGCAAATACCAAGAGCCTAAGAAGGTGTTTCATTCTGTCATGCAGAATTCTAGTCCTCACTCAGAATTTGAGGAGCAAAAACACTAAGTGACCTGGTTTTGGAGTCCTAAGACAGCTAATTTGTATTTCTTTCAATATGACCTGGTGAGATACCAGCAAAATTTACTGACAGGTGTGTATGTGTGTTTGTGTGTGTGTGTAAGCACATACATGTTTGCTCTGGTATGAGCTAATAGTATGAGACTCACAGTATGAGTCTTGTGACAGTGGTTCTCAGCCTGTGGGCCACAACACCTTTAGGGTCAAACAGCCCTTTCACAGGGGTTGCCTAAGATCATCAGAAAACACAGACATATTTACATTACAATTCATAACAGTAGCAGAATTATGGTTATAAAGTAGCAGCAAAAATGGTTTTATCACATGAAGAGCTGTACTAAAGGGTCTCAGCATTAAGAAGGTTGAGAAGCCTTCATGTAAGAGAGTAGAAGGTCAGCTCTTTTGTGTGTGTCTTCCTCAGTCTCTCTCCACAATAGCTTTTTGAAGCAGGATCTCTCATTGACTCAGTGATCTGCCTGTCTGGACTTGCCCATCTGGAGTTACAGGTGCACTCGATTGTGCCTGGCTCTTTCAGTTGGTTTTAGGGACTGAACTAAGGTTCTTATGCTTTTGCAGCCAGCACTTAGTGACTGAGCTATTTTCCCAGCCACCCTTTAGAGTATTTAAACTTCCCTACTTATCTCACTCCTTCTACATTTTATTGTTTAAGTTTCAAAATTGACAGACTGCATGATTTTGTTTTTGATCCAAGGGCTGGAGAACATACAAGCAGTGTTGATTTGATATGTACTGGAGTTGATGCCCTTTGTTGAGCACCGAGCTGCAGTGCCCACTCAGGGCCCAGTGGTATTCAATAGGGTGTTGATTCTGCTGGAATTTCAAACAGAACTAATCTCAGTTCCCCTAGCTTTTGAGGGCTACTGTGTCAAGAAAATTCAGAGTTTAGTGTTTGCTACTTTGTAATTAAGAGAGCTGCACTAGCAGAACATGGCCAGCCACCTGTACCCTGTAGTAAGATGTCAGAGTTTCTAGATCAGCACAGAAGGACCTGCAGAATCACAAAACTCTAGAACATTCATTGTCCCTGGTGTCTGCAGGAGACTCTGGGTTTGATCCTCATTGACAGTGGTGTTTCCTCAGAAGTCAGTGTGGCCACTTGCCAGATGAAGTCTGTCCGACCTTCTCCCCACATAGTTTTCAGTCAGTGTCACCCCCCTTGTTATGGGCTCAGTAGGTCAGGGCCAGCATGAAGGGCTCCACGAGGCTCCTCCTGGCTGCTTCATGGTATGGCTGTGATGCTAATTGCTTTTCACTCTTCTCCCCCAGGATGGCTGCAGCACTTCCACTGCAGATGAGGTGGACACCTCCATGACTACTACCACAACCAGTGCCTTCACCATCCAGGAATATTTTGCCAAGAGGATGGCCCAGTTAAAAAGCAAACCGCAGGCCTCAGCTCCAGAGCCTGACATTTCAGAGACCTCTGTTGAATGGAAAAAGGAGAAGAAGAAAACCAAAGAAGCAGCAGTCACAGATGTGGAGAACTCTCTCCAACACAAGGCCAAGCGACATAAAAAGAAAAAGTGTGCGGAAGCAGAGATGGGGCCTGTGGCCAAGAAGAGAGACCAACCCGAGCTGCTGCCTGGAGGCCCCAGCGGGGATGAGTGTTCCGAAGTCTCTGCCGAAGCTGAAGAAGATTGTGTACAATCACCCGACAGCCAGGTTGATGTCCCAAAGTCCAAGAAGAGGAAAGCAAAGAAAAAGCTGCAAAGGCCAGGGCAGGTAGAAATAGACACCACGCTAGAAAAAGCACCCATGAAAAAGAAGAAGAAGAAAGCTTCCAGATGACCTCACACTAGCCAGGGCCTCTGACCACTCAGCTGCCAGCACACTGCAGGGCTGGCACACAGCAGATGCTCTGGCCTGAAGTCAGAGCCCGGCGAACCCCAGGCAGCTCAGCATCTGTTGCCATGCCCACAGGTTGCAGCTTATCTTCTCACCACCTTTCCCCTAAGCTGCCTTCCTGAGAGAACTGACTTGAGTGTTCTAGATCAAGGCTTTTCAATAAATAAATAGATTCTTTCTTATACTATGAACCTTTCACATGAATATTGACATCCATACAAATATTGGGGGGGCACTATGTGTGTCTCTGTGTGTGTGCTCCCTCTGGTTTCCTTCCTTCAGTCACTTGACTGGAGCTTCCTTCTGAAGGACTTAGTCTAATTAAGGGATTAAGAGGCAGCGACTTGGATGCAGATGGCTCCTTTTGTTCTGCAGCCAGCCATACATTTCTGCCAAGTGGGAATTACAAGGCTACATTCCCCAGTGAGGGTTTTGCTGTGCTGTGTTTCAGTGTTGGTGAGAGGATGTTTCTCTCTTCTGCTGAGTGCTGGCCACCAAGGACCCCAGACCCCCCTGGATGACAGCACCAACTGGGGACAGCAAGTCCCTACCTTTCATAGGTCACCAGGGCTCCCTGCACTGGCTGTTTAGTCAAACTCATTTCTGCCTCCGTTCTTTGGATGAATCCCTTGTGGTGGGCTTGTTTGTATATATTGATCAGGAGGTCCCAGGAAGTTCAAAGCATGGAGAAGCTAAGGCATCAAACTGTCCTCTTGAAGGTAGGCTCTACCTTAATGAAAGCTCTTGCATGTGTAGATATTTATGAGTAGACCAGGATACCTAGCCATACTCAAACCAGGTGCTGTCGCCTTGTGTCCATACTCCCTCCCCTTGCCACACACCCACATGCCTCTGTGAGCCAGCCAGCTGCCACGCATGGTGGCGGAAACCTCAGCCTCTGACCTCTCTGTCACTTTCTTTCCTTCTGCCTTCTTTCTAGCTCTCCTTGTATTTCCAGTTCCTGGTTTTCCTGCTGGCTTCTTAGACCCTGCCTCCCATCCTTCTGGGGCATTCTTGTGCCATTGGCCTTGGTTTTCATAGAACCGTTGAGACATTGGTGGGGACCACACCAGTAGGCCTATGCCCACACTGTGTGTAATGTTTTACCTTTGATTTTCATTTCTGGGGTCGTGTGTTACATGGGAAACTTGACCCAAAGAGTTTTGAATTAGAAAATCCATGATCTAAGAACACTGAACACTGTCGGTGGCTTCAAAAGACAGCCCACCACCCCAGAGAGGATCTGCGTGGACTTGGAGCCTGAAGTAATCTCCTTAGTTTCATCAGGTCTCCCTGAGTTTAGAATCCCAAGCCAGTAAAGCCCCAAAGGTTTTTAAAGTCACTTTTCTTCACAACTCCTTTGCTTGCCTCATCTTGTTTGTGAAACTAGAGACCCAGGAGGGAGCGCAGCTGTATGAGAGCTAAAGGGCACAGATCTTACCAGGTTGTGTACGCTGGCTTCTTTTGTCTTCTGTTCTATTGAGTGTAAAGATTTGTTTACCAGTTTACCTTTGTGAGTGTGAGCCCTTTGCCTGCAGGAGTCTACGTACAGCGTACATGCCTGGTACCCAAGGAAGTCTGAAGAAGGCATGGTGTCCCCTAGAACTGGAGTTGGATGGTTGTGAGCTGCCATGTGGGTGCTGGGAACCCAAAAGGGTCCTCTGCAAAAGCAGTAAATGCTGTTAACAGCGGAGCCACCTCTGCAGCCCCAGGAATTATTTCCTAGATTAGTAGAAAGGTGAGGTCCAAGGGTTGGAGCTCAGTGATAGAGAGCTTGCCTGGCTCCATCCACGGTGAAGAGAAGTGGGGAGGAAGGACGGGAGAGAGGGGGGCAAGGGGAAGGAGTTGTCTGCAGGACTGAGAACATGAGATCCATTTAGGCTAACTGGAGAGATGAATCCCCAGCAGCCACATGCAAGTGGCTTCAAGTCAACTTTTATAGAGGGTTATAAAATGTAACTAGTTTTATTGAGCTCCTGGGTGATTTCTGCATAGTTTGCAGTGCAGGGGATCAAGTGTGGGCCTATCTTAGTGACTGACACTCAACCATCTTAGTAGGTGGCTGAGAAAAAGTATGAGCTTAACTATGAGTGCTGTGCAACTACTGGCTTTGAAGGAGACAGAATGCTTTCTCCAGAAGTCTCACCACTCATGTTTTCCCTCAGGTCCCTCAGACTGTGTCTTGGGTCAGAGAGGAAATTGGAATAATAAGATAAGCACACAGGGCACTGGATGTGATAGTCTGGACACCTGTAAAATTATCAGGACACAGTCCCACCTTTGCCCGGAGTTACTACACTAAGACAAAATGCATTAATTCTACATCCTTCGTTGCTGTCCTCAGCAGCTCGAGTCATTAGAGGAAATCGAGTTCCCTGAAGAAGAGCAGCCCTCTGAGGAGTTGCTCCCATGTTGTCTTGCAGTAACCTTTTCTATGGATTTTAATAGATGATTATTATTAAGCGGAGTCTTATGTGCTGGGCCCTATTCCAAGCACTTTAAATAAATCAACTTGTTAAATTGTCATTCAGCCTGTCCCCTTTACAGAAGAGCCTTTTGTGATGGCTGGAGATTTATGCTGCCCTGAAGCCCCATGATGCCCCAGCGCCCTCGTCACACCATCCTGGGCCCCTTGGCTCTCGATCGCAGCTTCGCCTGCCTTTGTAGGCCCTTGTGTTGCATCGTTCCCATAGTGTGGTTACTTACCCTTAACAGCAGGCATGTGGGAAGCAGCTGGCAAATGCCAGAGATTTCCACAGCTAATCCACATTAGCAATACACAAGAACATGCTCCTGGGTGCATTTGAAGTCCCCAAAGGGGCCTCCTTTCTACCTTGGCCCTGCAGTTGTTGGGAACCTGACTAAGTGAGCTTCTTTACAACTCGTATTGAAGACTGGTTCACAGGATCTACTTCGTAGGAAGTACTGATGCTTTTGGAAGATAAAACCCAAACCAGCATTTGTTTTCCTGCACAGGCCATGCCTCTGTTTCTCTCCTCACCTGTTCCCTGAGTGGCAGGAGCAGGCCGAGACCTGTTTGCTCGAAGGAATCAGCACTGGAGAACTTTGCTTGCAATCTCTCCCGGTGATCTCAGCTCTTGGATCAGCAAGCAGCGGCTGTATTTAGATTTAAGTAAGAACTTCCTCCCCACCCGCCACCCTGTTTATCTCTCTCAGCTTCTGCAGCCACTGCACTTTAGAGCCAGTTGTGCTGGAATGGACTCGAAGAGGTCAGATCGGGTGCCCGGTGTGGTGTGTGCTTTTATGGTGTGCCATTATTCAAGAGCAAATTAGTGCCATGTCCTAATAAAGGAGGTGACTAACCTTGCATACAAGCTCAGTCTATTTAAGAAATACTGAATATATTAAAATGACACACACACAAGAAAAAGACAGACAGGGACATTGTGTCAAGAAGGGGAACAGAAAGCTAGCTGAATCAGAGTTCCCAAAGTGGCGATGTTTGCAGTTAGGGACCAGATAGTGGACTGGGGGCCTGGGTTGAATTTTCATGTAATGCTAAGTCACTGTGTAAAGAAGACTGCAATAAATTCTTTAAATGAGGGAAGGACTTCGTAACTAGTTACATCTGGAATTTTCCACACTGGATTTCCTTGGGAAAGTGTACATAGATGCCATCCCTGCCTTCCCAGTTTGCCCTTGAGAGCCCACCAGTAGATTCTGAGCTAATCCCATTGCACACGCCCAGGCTATAGGCTCCTCAACTCCAGCCAAGCAGTGTTTCATCCCGAGAACACCCAAGTCAGTGCTCCAGTTGGGCTGGAAGCTGCAAGAAATTCTTTGCCAGCCCATTGTTTAACCTGAACCTGGGAGTCAATGTGTACTAAAATCTTTGTCGGCGGCAGTTCTAGCCAGTTAACTGACAGGCATTCTTATATGTGTCCCTTCACACTTAATGCAACAGGCATGGATTTTTGCTGCTCCCCCACCCTGGAGTCCATGTGAGTGCCAGAGCCCAGCTACCCTCCAGTGACCATGTCACAGCAGGGGACAAGGATGGGAGGGGCAAGGGAGACAGCCGACTCCACCCACTGCCGGAGATAACCCTTCAGCTGGAAGGGACCAAACCAACCACTGAGGTGTCTGGTAAAATGCCCACTCAGCTTTACAATATGAAGCACTTAGGTGGTGAGTAGTCTGGGAGATCATGGCCCAAGAGTGGCAAACGTGTCCCCTCCCCTCCCCTTCTGCCATTCTACAATGTCCTCCTAGTCTGCTTTCCACTCCTGGCTCTTTCTGCTCTCCACGTGGAGGGGAGGGCTCCATGCACCCTGAGTGTTTTGGAGGTTGTGTGCTGTTCTTCCCTCTCCCTCTGTAGAGATGCTCCTGGTCTGTTTCTGCTGCATCCTGGACACTTCCTAGCTCAGTGATGCCAAGCTTTTCACCTGCCTCTCCAGATGGCCTTTCCCAGCTCCCTCAAATTCTAGGACTCATCAAGGAGCTCTTGCTCATCTTTTATGATTGCCCTCGGGCCCTGCTGTTGTCATAGAAACCCGTGCACCCACAGATGGCGACTCTGCTATTGAGAGTTTTCCGCTGGTCCTGCCTGTCCTCCACCAGTGTGTGTGAAGCAGGCCTGTCCTCCTGCAGCTCACAGCATAGCACTCCTACTATGGGAACTGCCTGCACGCATCCGGCCTTCCTATCCACTCTCAAATCTCTGGAACATTCTTCCCTTTCTATGGCTCCCTAGCTCTGACTGGAGTCACTGCATGGAGGCCCAGAGAGACCACTGTGGGAAGCTGTGAAAGCGAACCCTGAGTTTCTGGGGAGACTCCAAGATATTGGAGATGCCAGAGGTGTGAGACATCTGACAGATGTGTACAGGAAGTGAAACTAGCCTAATAGAGATGTGTGTTACAGGCAGCAAAGCTGAGGGAGGGGCCAGTGATTGTGGAACCTTGGTACTTGCTGTCTGCCCTGGTGGATTCCTGTCTTTGGTCCAGTGCTTCCCCACTCCGTTCTCCTTCCTCCCCTTTGGGAAGGGAATGTATGTTGGAACTATGTGATTTGCTTGTATTCTGTATAGGCCGCAGTTAAGAGATTGCCTTCCGTCTCAAAGGAGACTGTGTTGAGACTGTGAAAGACAATGGGGACTTGTGAAGTTGGACTAAGTACATTTTTGCAGTATGAAATGGCCATGAGTCTATGGGGGCCAGGGTG